CGCCTGCACCTGGGCAGAAGGCAGAATCAGGCTTAGGCAGGCGGAAGAGCATGGCGGATTCCTGCCGCCATACAGAGACGCGTTTTCAGACTGCGCAGTGCTCTGCGTGTCAGATTTGGCTGTAACTTGGATGAAAAGAGTTTCTGTGCTGCACACTCAGTCTCAGAATTAAACTGCTGATTGCGGCTCCAATGTGAACTGCTGTGTGCCTGGAACTGTGCTCAGCTCAGAAGCACCAAATGACTCTGAGGCAGGAGCGGCTGCTCCATGCTGAACTGTGCTGATCTCAGGCAGGAACTACCGTAATTACCTTAAAACCGTGCAGTTAAGGTTTAGACTGGGCAGGACACAGGCAGTACCGTATTACCTGTACATGGTGCAACTTAAGTTTTTAAGAAATGCTTAACATTTTAAGAAATGCTCCTGGATAGTAAAAAAATTACAGATTCACAATAAAACAGATTCAGACACTGTTGGATAAATGTACGTAGGCTTGGGAAAGAGAAGAAAAAGAATATAAAGAATAAAGTTAATGTCTTAAAAAGAAAAAGGGTAAAGTCTTTAAAGAGACAGAGTACAGAAGTACAGATAGTTATAGATTAAGAGAAATAAAGAAAAATAAGCCACGTAAAAATGGAAAATTCACAGAGAGTCTGGATTATGTACATTGTGTTTTCTTTAAAATTTTTGACTGTGAAGGAGCTAAGTACAGAGAGACATTTCATTATATGGGCTGCCAAGCTAAACCAAAATGGATTTCATGAGGGTATTATGATTTCAGAATTTGGGTCTAAGGATATGATGCTTTGGAGAGGGTCTTCTTTTGTTTTTGCAGAGGATGAGACCCTGTGGATTGCATCTATTCCGATTTGGTATGATAGACCACGCCCTCCTGAAAGGTTGCTGTGAACACCCTCAAAAAATTGCTTCGCTCAATTGCCAACTGAGATGAAACTAGCACACAGGTTATATCATGAACGACCTAATTAACGACGCCCCTATTCAGCAGGAAGCAGTTTGGAGAGAAAAAACTACGCCCATGTTCCCAAATATTGTTTATAAATGTTCTTTTACATTTAAAGGGGGATATGATATAGATATGAATAATTTGCATTGGTATGGATTTTAAGGTCAATTTTGTTATATGTATATGTATTTTTGATCTTGATTAAGGTATTGTGATTGTGTAGTTCATTTAAAAATGTAATGTATAATTAGGAAATATAGGTTGTTAATGGATAATCATCGCTAATAGTTAAGCTTGTAGTCATGTTAATTAGATTTTCTAGATATATAGAGATATATTTCAGTTAGATAGGCATTCTTCATATCTTTCAAAGACTGCAGAATATGGCATTTAAAATATTTTAATAACTTAGGACTTTTCATGACAAGGAGACACGTCTGCTCCTGGCAGCACCAGCTACTTCAAGAGGAAGATGGGCATCGAAGAGGATCCTTATGGAGTTGGATAGTCATTTGGGCAAGAAACTGCTCTTGCCTGGACTGTTGCATAAACTGGACACAGAGAACCCTCAGAGAGAGGACTGCTGAACTTGCCTAAAGGTGAGATGGTCTTTCGGGGTTCCTGATTCATGAAAGAGTCTGCGAGACATTCTGCAGGACACAGCAGAAAATGACTGAACTGTCTTTGAAATTTCCTGCTTCATGGAAATGTATCTGGATACCATGGGCCTGTAGGCCGAAGATGGATGCCCCAACGGTACAGAGGAACTTTGGGTGACTGTCCAGGCAGCGAGATGTCTCTGTCATTTCTAGAGTTTTCTTATTTCTTGTTTACTTAGATAATATTATATCCTTCTGGAGTCTTTGATGGAGTTGAAGAATAAATAGTTATAGTTTTCCTTAGTTATGATAAGAGATAAAATAGATATAAATATTGTAACTGTAATTCTTACTTGATAACTGTTTTGTTATATGTAATTTTACTATGCTAAAGTTAAAGCCTTTCTTTTTTGTTTAAACGGAAAAAGGGGAAATGATGTGGGAATGATTTCTTACTAATAAAGAAACTGCCTTGGCCCATTTTATTGGATAGAAAATTAGGTAGGCGGAGTATACAGAAGAGAATTCTGGGAGAAAGAAGGTTAGAGGAGGAGTCGCCATGATGCTCCCACTCCAGACAGATGCAGGTTAAGATCCTCTCTGGTAAGCCAGCTCATGGGCTACACAGAATATTAGAAATGGGTTAGAACAATATGTAAGAGCTAGCCAATAAGAAGCTGGAACTAGCTGGGCCAGGCAGTGTTTGAAAGAATACAGTTTCTGTGTAATTATTTCGGGCATAAGCTAGCCATGCGGGCGGCCGGGTGCCTGGGACGCAGCCCTGCCGCTCCTATTTCAACAAATGGGAAAAAGTTCAAATGATGTTTAAAGGAAGGAAAAAGAAGGAAGAAGTGATATAATTAAAGATAATCACAAATATAAACAGCAACAGCAAAAATAAAATGCACCAACACCCCTATCATTAATACAGGAGATGTTCTTTCATAGTTCATGCTTGAAACAAAAGAGTTCATTTTTATTTTTATGTAATAAATGAGCATATAAAACAGTGGATTTCATTATAATGTGTTCCTACATGCATATCATAGCTTTCTTACATATTTACATTAATTTCCTTTTTGTTCCACCTACCTTTAGGCCCCCTTTTCTTCCCAAAGTAGTCTATTTTATGATTTCATGTCATATATTATATTTGCATACAAAAGAAAATTCAATATTTGACTTACTCTTACTTTTTGAAAATCTCCATATCCGTCAATTTTCTTGCAAATGACATGTTTGTTGTTAATTACAGTTGAATTAAGTAGAGACTATATGACACATTTTATTTATCCCCTCATCTTCTGATAGACAGAGAGGCTAATTGTATGTCTTGGCTATTTATTGTACTTAATAAATTTTCTCATACAAGTCAGCTGACTTATATTATTCTGGTTATATACCTGGGAATGATACAACCAGTTCATATATTAGTTTAGCTTTAACTTTTTGAGTATATTCATACTGATTTTCATAGTGTTTCTACTAAGTTCCAACACGTAATTTTAATAAAATTAAAATTACCAAAAGTTGTAGTACATGATCTATTAAAACGGGTGGATGGAAATTAAAAAAAAAATAAAGGTTAAGACTTTTTATCCTGAGTCCTGTGTAAGAGAATATGTTGCCTATACCATTACTGATTGAGGAATGTGTCAGAGAGACTGGACCATAATTACTTGATTCTTCTATCTTGGACACAGGGTATAAATGTGTTGCAAATGGACTAATAGTGGCCAAAAGAACAGAGAATGGGAAAGAGACAAGTGTCTCAATTTCTCTCTCAAGGTTATAAGACCAAACATCCTTCAGGATGTTTTTACTAATTCTCAATAGTTCCTCAAACTGAATATCAAGATTTAATTTAATGCTTGGATTATTTCTACAGTGGGAGCTTTCCAGATACAAAAGAATATATTTTGCCTGCACTCAAAATAACTCACGTATATCTTACAATATAAAATGCATTCAAATCATTTCTAAGATTTTAAAAATCTTGACCGTCCTAGAAATTTTCAGATCCAAAGTCTCTTAGACACCACCATGGTCATCTGTAACCCTCTTTTTATAGAAAAAGAAAGTTTCATATTTTTATAATACAATGATGTAGCAGATACAAAGTTCACATTTCTACTCCAACAGTGATGGCGTGTAGATTATGGAAAAACAGTATTGAGCACAAAAAGCCAAAGAAACTGAAAAATATGCTAAATCACATCTTGATATCTAGTCTAGAGAGTATGAGAATATCAGATAGCATAGGTTTGGTTAGAACTACTCCTGCGACTTTGCTGGTTTGAATCCACGTGGCTATTTATTTATTTATTTATTTATTTATTTATTCATTCATTCATTCATTTATTTATTTAAACTCTGCTTACTGATGTTTTCCTTAGAAAGCGTCATATTTCATATTTCTGACACTTCTGTCTGGAGTCTCCACTGAAGTTTTGGTTTCCTTTATTATCCTGTCAGAGATTGCGAGCAGGGGCTCAGACACAGTCACACAGTTGCATCTCAGTTTTTACCTGCAATCCTGGTTAAAGATTCTATGTCTCAAGGATTCCTCAGTGAGACTGTAAAATTCATATATATCACAGATCTAGAAAACTAGCATCATGGAGTCATCATTGTGTTAGCATCACCACATGCACCAATGCTACTGAACCTTGGTGGCAAAGACTTGTTAAACTTTTTGTGTCAGGACACAAGGACATTTAATCTCAGGAAAACAATTACCTAAGTGCTTCAGTACAAGCAAAGTGCCACTGGCCCTCCTTTTCAAACCAAAATGAATGTACTTTTGTGTTGCAATGGACATGCTCTTGTCAATACCTGAAGTTTCCTAAATGCCTTTACAACCTACATTTCAATCAGCACACTGCAGAGTTACACTAGACTTTTCTATTGTACTCTGTTTGCAACACTTTCTTGAACCTTCTTTTTCAACAATTCCCAGATTTTTTTCCACAACCCAATTCCAAAAGCTTCCTAAGTATTGTGTAAAATCAACATGAGGATCTGTTTTCAGCATCACTTTTCATTTTTGTAACCCTGATAAGGTGACAGAGGTTAAGCAACCCAGCAGGAAAAAGGTATATTTTGCCTCATAGTTTTTGTTGACTATTATTTTCATTGTCACTTTGTTGTCAATAGTGAGGCATGGGTAATTTTCTGAAGAAACTGTTTATTTTACAGAATTCAGGACACAGAATGAAAAAGAGTAATAATTTAGCAATTTAGTGTACTCTTCAAGTATGAGGACGTGGTGAGCTAATTTATGTTCACTAGGTTCTACCTTCTCAGGGTTCTGACACCTTCTGTAACCCACTACCTTCAGACAAAGCCTTCAGCATAATGGATTTTAAGAAATATTCTTGATATAAACCACATCAAAGCCATGGACAATGAATGAGTTCAATGGATTATCTGACCTGGTTTCCATTCTGGTCTTTCAAGAAGATGCCTAATTAGTGATGAGACACCTGAACATGCTTTCCTTTTAAAATTGGGAAACTGAAATATAAAGAAATGACATATGGAATGTTAAGAATTAACATGCAAGAAAAGAAAAATATAGATAAAGACTAAGTGGTGTTAATGACATGTTCTATTAGAAGCTACAGTATAAAAACTTTCATGAAATAACCAAAAGAAACATTTATAACTAGAAAATTTGTACATATAGAATAAGAATGAAAGATTTTCTTGAAACATATACTTCATAAACTCATGAAGTATATTTTCCCTTTCAAACACAGGATATACATACTAGGATACCTTTCTTTTTTTTAAATTTATTTATTTATTATGTATACATAACCAGAAGAGGGCACCAGATCACACACACCAGAAGAGGGCACCAGATCTCATTACAGATGGTTGTGAGCCATCATGTGGTTGCTGGGAATTGAACTCATGACCTCTGGAAGAGCAGTCAGTGCTCTTAACCTCTGAGCCATCTCTCCAGCCCTAGGATACTTTTCTTTAATGAGTCCATGTAAGTGGTATTTGCAATGAGTGTTAATAGGTCAACAATAGGAATTAAAGAATTCAATCCAAATGTGTATATTTCACCCAGTTCATAAATTAAACTCATTATGTATCCAAATTAGTGCATTCATTTGTGTGTTCTTAGTTCCATTTGTTGACCTCAACCTGTAGCCCCATATGGACTAATTACCTGATTACTTTTAATATTTCACAAGAAAGTCTCTAATTAAAAGTTTTTGAACTAAAGCTGAGTCGGGAAGCCTTTGAAAGGAGACATACTTGCCTCTAGCAAACAGAACACATCCAAGAAAATGCTGCTACCAAGAAACTGTGCTTAACTCTATTCTTTTGTGTCTAGAATTACTGCCCAAGCTCTCTTAGCTCTCTCAGGTTTTATGTGGATGTAGTTATCCATGTTGGTAGCATTTGTTGAGAGAGGTTTCTGTTTCACCCAGTCCCACAGCCGTTCAGTCTCCCCCCCCCCCAAAAAAAAACCCAAAAAACAACAACAACAAAAAAAAACCCCAGAGGCTTACATTAAATACAAACTGGTTGATCTATTATCTCTGGCTTTCTTATTGAATAACTTTTATATCTTAACTTATAATTTTTGTCTGTACTAGCCACGTGGCTTGGTAACTTTATCACTGAGGCATTCTCATCTTGCTTCCTCTTCGTCTGGGTGACAACTGCAGACTGAGCTTTCTGCCTTCCCAGAATTCTCCTGTACTGTGTGCCTCAATTATAGTTTCTGCCTGGCTACCAGTTAATAAGCATTTTATTAAACAAGTACAAGTGACAAATTTTTACTGAGTCCAAAACTATTGTCCCATAGCAGGCAAATAAATGTTATCATCAGACTATTCTTACTTCTTTCTTATTACAGACATGCAACTTTGTGGGTGGTTCATATCTCGTTCTACATTAGTAGCTAATTAAAGGAATTGTTATTGAAAATTTTGCTTAACTCCACTTTTAATTGTAAAAGGATTGAATGGGTTTCTTATAGGATGATTTTCAAGTGAGTATATGTTTGCATAGACCAGGTATTACTTCTATAGCACTCTTGACAATTGAAGAATTGATCATCCAATTTTCCTGAAGGGTCACTCTATGAAGAACTCTTGTCATACCATGTGCTGCTACTTGCTGCGATTGATCTAATGTCTTTACCTATAAAAATGTATATGCAAACAAATGCATACACATATGTTCTATTTGAATGGCCTTGTCCATGTTTAAAGACAGAGTTTGTAATTTCCCACATAATTCCTTCTATGTAAAGATTATATAAAGATTATTTCTCTAAAATAATGTGTTTTCTTCTTTTGGGCAAGCACCTTAAAATGAAAAGGAGTTCATATGCTTAATAAGATGTAATTTCTAGTGAAGAAGAAAACTCAGTGGAACATTTTAGCTGCATGTTCCAATCCATGCATCTGGAAGACATTTCACCAATAATAAGATTGAGGAAAATTTTAGGAGTGAGAGTCTCCACCATATGGGATATGGTAAATTCCAAACTGAAGAAAAAAAGGTTTGACAAAAAAAAAAATGAAAGTCACACATTTTAAAAGCACCTAAATGAAACTGTCAGCATATTCTTTTATATCTTATCAGCAGTACTTTAAATTTATTTCTTCTAGTAAATAAAAAAAAAAACTTAACAAAGTAAGGTAAATATCCAAAATGTTTTATGTGATCATTCAAATATATTGAACTTCACATATAAGAGTAATGATAAGTGATTAGCTTATGTAAACAGAAATAATTCATTAAGTCACTCTCTGAAAAAAAAAGGAGCATGAAAGATGTAGAAGAGAATTCCATTGAACCATATAAACCTGCTTATAGTAATATTAATTAGAAATTAGTTTCAAGAAATTGGATCTTAATAAACAAGAGGTGATAGATACACAGTCTTTGAAATTCATAAAATAAAAAAAAATAAATTTATTTTTATTACTGTTGTCTGTCATTAGGCATTTCCACATGTGTATATAATCAAGGCTTATATGAATGGAGTCTTATCACTGCTTTTTTTGTTATCAAAATTTTAATTTTTTTATTCTTATTCAAAACTAGCTAATATATACCTACTACAGTTCTCACTACACTTTTAACATTGTTTTTAATGTTGTTTACAAATGTTAGGTCAATGCAAGCTATTTTTTTTTCAATTCTGATGGAATAATTTTGTCTCTTGCCATTATTATCAGCCTTCTTTCTTAAAAATTTTATCATTTGATTCAAGGTCTTTTCAGTGCTCTGCTTCTCATTCCCTCATTTTCTGATAATATTATCCTTAAGTTCAAAGAGATTTTACTGTGTTGTTTACATCCTATAATAATGTAAATATATTTCTTTGTTATATGTTCTTTTATATGAAGCAAACTTATTCTATTATCTTTTTGAGAAAATAAAAAAAAATAATAATTTCCTGCAAAAGGTAGATACTATATCCCCACATAATCCAAAGTTAGGCACACTGTCCTCTCCTACAACCTAACTCAGCTGAGGCCAGTACAGTTTCAGGAAATGGGATAACAGGATGTGATGTGGGGTACATAGCAGAGGCCAGGCTGACAAAGTCTGTGTACCATGTTAAGGACTTTGAGATTCACTCATCTCCCTTATATTTGTACAAATACATGGTAAAAGTATTAAAATCTGATTAATTTTTATGTTACAATTATCATTTAGAAACAAAACATACTAATGTGGAAAAGGGTTTAATATGTTAAGTGATCTTTTTTCCGTACTTTATGAAAAACTCCATGGAACTATTTATAAGATACTGACTTAAATAATTAACACATTCTGTTCTTGACAAAGGACCATTAATTCATTCTGTTCGCAAACTGTTGATCTATAAGAAGTCCATTGAGAAATAGTGATGTAAAACAGCAATGTGTTACCTAGAATAGAGCTGACAAAGCCTGGGTTTGTCTAGTCCTTTGTGTATAATACAATAATTAAAAAAAAAAAAAAAAAAAAAAACCTCAGAGAACACTTCTGCCTCAACACTGAAGTTTGAATGGAACTGTCCTCCATAATCTTATAGGAAGTGTCACTATAAAAGGTGTGCCTTTGTTGGAGTGTGTATGGTCTTGTTGAAGGAAGTGTATTACTGTGTGGTGACCATTAGGTTTCTTATGCTCAGAATACCACCCAGTGTGTCAGCCAAAGCCCTGTTTCTTACAAGATGTAGCACTCTAGCTCCAGCACTACACCTCTCTCCATGGTGCCATGCTCCCAATCATGATAATAATGGACGGAACCCCTAAAACTGTAAGCAGGCCCCCTAAGTTAAATATTTTGCCCTGGTCACAGTGTCTCTTCAAAGAAATAACCCTAAAGTACTAACCTCTTGTTTCTGGTTGTATTGCATCAATTATGTAGATGTGAAATAATTAGATTTCCTTTTCGTGCACTATGTTTACGAAAATACCCTGAAAAATTGCTATTTCATACTAATGCCAAGCATATAACTTTAAAAACTCTACTCAGATATCCTTTAGAACAAAATTTATAAATTACAAATGAGCAAAATAGGTGTTTCCATGACATTTGTCAACATTGAGCCTATCTTTTTCAATCCCTTACAGTAAAGAAGTGGGGCTTAACACCAGGGAGCATGTGTTTCAAATTCATTATGTCTCGTGAAAAATAGAAGAACCTTTACAAATATGACTTATACTAGTGATTATGAGTTGAACAAGACTTAACTGTTTAAAGCTAAAACCAGGATGACCCAAGAAAGCCTTTTATATAGATCTCTGGAACAGGAAGATCTTATCTTGCTATTCCTGTAAAGATACTGGCAAAGGCTACAGTAGAAAGATGTATTTAGCTCCTCAATGTCTCTTAAAAGTTCTCCATTTAGAATTTTCTTACTTTGGATGGGATGTAGTTTCCCTTTCATAAACACTTTTCTGCTTATTTTACAAGAGCTCTAAAAGATAAGGTTTTTTTTTTCTTTTTTGTGAAGTATGAAACACAAAAGAGAATGAAACTCAAAAAAAAATCTTTATTAAGATCACAAAAAAGAGCCAGGCAATGGTAGTGAATGCCTTTAATCCCAGCACTTGGGAGACAAAGGAAGGTGAATCCCTGTGAGTTCAAGGCTAGACTGGTCTACAAGAGCTAATTCCAGAACAACTAGGACTGTTATACAGGGAAACCCTGTCTCAAAAAAAAAAAAAAAAACTAAAGGAAAAAAATTCACACACACACACAAAAATAAATCACCAGTCAGTACTTAAATCGAGGTTTCCAAGCACATTTCTATTTTATTCTACCTGCTTGTATACATCTCTTCATTATTCAAGAGGGAAGTCATATGTAACGTGCTCTTCTCTTTCATGCCTCTATGTGATCATATCTGGTAGTAGAAGCCAGAAATAACTGAGGAGATATGCTTTATTCCTGAAAGATACAGGGAAAATTACAGAATAAATTTCTCATGATTTTCTTTTCTGTACAAGGAATTACCATGAATGTATCACTTCATGTACCAAAATCCACTTATGATAGTAGTTTTTATAATCAATCAGTCCATCATAGTGTGTTTAAAAATTTCTCCTACAGCTGCTCTCAAGATTTCATGCATGTTATCGCTCTTAATGGGGTCCTTAGAACATATGTTGAAAGCCACTGGGTGTAGAATCTATCTTTTCTTATTTTCACAATGGATCTCTTCAACACCAAGCCAACATTACCAGATCACTTGTCTTGAGCAGTTTGAATGGCTCAAACTGCTGATTTAACTTTCTCCTTTCTATTCTGTTTTACAGGTTCTCTTCTTAGAAATAACAGGAGACCTTGGTCTCATCCTGTCGGTGTCAGACAGAATGTGTAACCTTAGAGGTCATGGAAAGTGTGATCTTTCCAGTTCAAAGACACTGGAAACACTGAGGTCAACATGTTTTCTTTCAATAGATTATATGATACCAAAGAATCACATTATGATCTCTTTCAGTTCTAATTTTAAATAATGAGAATGATAGTTTAGTAATAAAGACGTACTTTTTTGCCAAATATATTTCAAGATTCCTTGATTGTGCTTAATAAGTGTTCATTAAATTAAAAAGAGCAGAAAGATGAATATGAGCAACAATTTTCGAGGTTCCCATATTCCACAAAGGGGAAAATTAAGCAAAAATAATAGAATAATAGAATTCTCAGATTCATAACCTCTCTGGAAGGCTTATGAATTTTATTAACTGTTGATTCATATGAAACCTAGTAGGTGGTAGCTGTGAGTCATGAACCGCATTTAATTAGCCTGAGTCACTCAAAAGGGAAAAGAATATGATTCAAAATGGAGAGAAGTCTATTCATTTTCACTTTAAGGACTGATCTACATTTTGGGAAAGCTAGCTGGACCTGTAACCTCTGGACTACTGAAAGTCCCATTCTATGAGATTTTTGAGATACAGCCACATTTATCTTGTTGACCCCAAATTCAGTGCATGTACAGCTATTAAACACAATAAAATCTGATGCTCAGCATCAAAGTTATAAATAAACAACACATTTTTTTCCTCCCTCACACTTTCCTTCAATACAGTCAATAAATGCTCCCCACAGGGAAAGTCTGAGAAGGAATGTTTACAGATCTAAGAGAAACCTTAGTCTCAAGTATTTTAGATATCCTTTTCAGTTAGTCCTTAAATTTTCACTCTTTTTCTTCCTCTAAACTAAACTTCCTCTAAACCCAAGTACTAAAATCCCCTTTTCAATGAAATTTTCACACTCTTCCTTCCTCGACCAAACTACTGTGACCATGAAACCTCTATAATATTGTTCTGTATACCTCTGAATCTTCTGCACTTGTAAACTAACATTCTTCTGTATGATTTTTTTTTTGGTTGTGAGCCTATATATCTAGAGAGATGGCTCTGTGATTAACAGCACTGCCTGCCCTTCCAAAGGTCCTGAATTCAATTCCCAGCGACCATATAGTGGATCACAACCATCTGTAATGAGATCTGGTTATCAGCATCCTTTACTAGTAAGGTCATAGCTGCTATTATTAGGACACAGGAACGCCACTCAGTTGACATAGGGTCAATTTTTTTTTGATATATAGGTTATTGTTCATTTCTAAGGTCACGAGGTCTGGATCAGGACACCTTTAGCTATTCCATTGTACTCATCCACAAGTAAGTGAAAAGGCTTAGACACATCTGGAAGTCCTAGTACTTGGGGCCGAGAGCAAGCTTTGTTTGAGTTTGTATGATGTACTATCCATAAAAAAAAAGTTTTGCCCTTCCTCGGTAATCTCCTATAATGTCTTAACCAGTTCAGCAAAGTCTGTAATCCACATGCGGCAAAAGCCCACTATACTTAGGAATTCTCTCACTCCAGGTACGATACCCTAGGTACTCGAGTGCTTGCAGCAGACCTTCAGTTCCAGTTAAGCAGGTCTCCCAATCTATGACTGAAATCAGGTCATCAACATACTATAACAGACTGACATCTGTTTTTTGTGCCTGGTACACCTCCAGGTCCTCATACAAAGCTTCACTGGATATGGTGGGAGAAGTTTTGAGTACTTGTGGTTGTGTGGTCCATGTCAACTGACCCCAATTTCTGGGTCATGGCATTCAAAAGCAAAGTACAGTTGCCTTTTTTGAAACCAGAGGCAGACTGAAAAGGGCATCTTTTAGGTCCAGAACAATATACTGTTGCTGAACCAAGTTGTGTAAGATATATGGGTTAGGCACTATAGGTTTTCTGTTGATCACTATCTTATTGACCTCCCTAAGGTTCTGGACTGGCCTATAATCATTGGTATAAGGTTTCTTAACAGGCAGTAAAGGTTTGTTCCAGGTTGACTGCATGGGCTTCAGGACTCCCAAGTCCAGTAGCTGCCTGATGTGTGGAGTGATGCGTTTTTTTTGACCTGTGGGGAATGGAGTACTGGTGGACTTTGAATGGACCTGACCATGTCTTGATTTTTACATAAACAGAGGTGGGGGTACAATGCTTTGCCTGTCCCATTTCCTGTGCTTTAGCCCAGCCCGATGGGTATTACTTGAGCCACCTCTGCAGCTTGGGGTCAGGCCCAATGGTCACTTGTTGAAGTCTATACTTTTCAGTTAAGCTACTGATCACCAGTACTTAAAAGGGTTTTCCATCCTCATGGAGCAATTTAGCTTCTCCATCAAAAAAAATTATCTGGACTTTCATTTTAGTCAATAAAATAGGACCCAACAAGGGATATGGGCTTTTTGGAATCACCATAAATGAATGAGTTATTAAGCCTAGTCCTGAATCCACTCTTCTTTGGATAGTCCATGAGTAGGGCTTTGCCCCTGTAGCCCCTTAGACACAAATATTTTTTTTAATCTGTAATGGACCCATCAACATTTAAGAACAATGAATTTTGAGTTCCTGTATCCAACATAAAATCAACAATCTGTCCCTCCACTTTTAGGATTACCTAGGTTCAGGGTAGTGTCTGAACCCTGTCTCCCCTAGCTACTGTCCATCCCAATTTGACTAAGTACTTTGCTGTTACCCTTAGTACCCTTCCATGGATGTTCTCTAGACCAGCATCCTTCCTACCTACAATATGTGTATTAGTCCTTTCCCAGCCAGAGACCTCTATTACCTCTTGGTTCTCCTCCTTCCTGCCTGATTGCTGCCATAGTCTCCTGTCATCTTCAGGATTGGCTGTCATGGCCAGAAGGATACTGGCCATATGTTGAATTTTGCACCTTACTTTTTTCATCTTTTCGTCTCAGCACTTCCCCTTCCACAGTACATTTTCTTAGTCATTGTATCTAACTCTCAATTTTTTTTTTCCAAATGCTCTAGTTTCTGAAGTTTCTTTTTAATATCTGGCTGCCTGATTAATAAAGGGCAGTTGTATTTTCCTGTGATTCAGAATTATATCTTCTGAAAGCTTCATGTAGTACTTCCAATTTAATGGGCATTAATTAGGTCATGGTGTTCTCAGAGAAAGGCTCAGTCTGAGACGTCCAAGTGTAGAGATTACTAGTAACAAAGGGCCAGTAATGAAAGAGTTAATTCCCATCTTTTTTTGGGGGGGGGTCTAGCAGCTCTTAAGAGATGAGTGACTGAGCCTGCTTCAGGGGTTCATCCAATTTGTATCATGGTGACTCTAGCCTGTCCTCCCTCCTGGACATGGTCTACAGAGGCAACAGGGGGATTCTTCCAGGACACCATTGGTGCAGACCGGGAAGCTGGAATGTAGGCATAGGGAGGATGAAGGAAGTTGTCTTCCTCAGTGTTTTCACTCTGAAGGACCCAGGCCAAGGGGTTCCTGCTTAATGGGTACTTTTTCTTTGCTACTATTAACTTAATCTCTAGGGGAAGAAAAACTTTAAACTAAGGGAGAGGATTCTCTATTAGGACTCAACATCTTATGATATAGAATATCTGGTCAGAGTGCTCATTCCATGGCCAGAACATGATGCCTTCTTTGGCCCCAATTAGGCCAGCATCTGAGAACCAGTTGATACCAAAGGTAGAACTTTCTTTTTTTGTAAAAGGTAACAAATTTTACCTTGTCAATTTCAACTACTTGACTATTAGCAATGGCTTACATGTCCTTTAAATAGGCTAGACAGTGGCTTACAGGAGAGGAAGGAGACCATTCCACAGCATTTACCACATTCAAGTCAATAAGAACAGTTAGCAAACCGCACAAAAGACCTAGGGCACACAAGATCATTATATTTGAAATAACTCTGCTACAACAATACGACCAGTAAAGTTCCAGAAATAACTAGGGATTGGTACTGTGCTGAGAGACCAATCCTCCAGGTTCAATTATACCAAACACCATTCTGGATCTATAGCTCTCCTTCCTAAAACAAACACACTTGGGGTTCTCTGTCCTCTCCAGCAGGGTTTTAAATGTCTTCTGGATCTCCATGTTTGCAGAACTCCAGTGCCTCTGTTCTGACCATTATATAGTCACAATATAGATTTGGTGTGCCACAAAAAGCAAAGTACAAGCACACAAAGAACCAGACACAAAGAGAATTATTGACCTATCAGAAACTCCTCAGTCTGGGATCTGGGGGTTGCAGGGAATCCTGGGCAAGCCCTAAAAGGCTGTGCCCATATTGAGAGACCCCCCAACCAAGACCAACACAGAACAGATATTCAATGAAAACAAGCGGGGGTTTATTGAATAAAAGTCTGAGCCTGAAACCATTATCCAGCACTCCAGCACAGTGTGTGAAGAGTGGCCCTGAGTCTCTGGGTTTACATACATAGAGATTATATTCTATATAGATATCTAGGTGGTAATCTTCAACCACTTCAAAGAACTGTAGAATATGACATTTACATAATTTAGGTTTCTGCTGACATGAGTCATGATTGCTCCTGGGAACACCAATCTGTTCCCAAGAGAATGTTAAACACTAAAGACACTCCACATGGAG